TAATAAGTGCTTTTCTTCTCTCCTTTGTAAATCTTTTATTTTTGGTCTTGAATTCTTCCTGTTGAGAGTTAGAAGTATTTGTGTATTGACTTTTACTTACCTTGGGGTGTGGACAACTTGCTGCAAAATGTCCAGGCTTTCTACAATTGTAACACAAATTTGAATCTTCCTCAACCATTTATTTCTTTGAATTCTTTGCATTCCACGATTTTCCTTGTGGATTTTTCTTGTAGTTGCTTCTCTTCATGAATTTCCTAAATTTCTTGACAAAGAGAGCAAATTGATCATTAGGCAATAATTCAACATTTTGTACTGACCTTGAAGTTGATGGTTGCTCGGCTACAAGTGCGTTGTTCTTCTCTTCATGATCTTCCTCTATTCTTGATTTCATCTCAAATTCATAGGCTTTTAGATCACTAAATAGCTTATCGGTTGATAGGGTTTTTAGATCCCTATGATCTCTCATGGCCGTGACCTTCATGTCCCATGTAGATGGTAGACCACGTAGAATTTTGAGTGAAATTTCCTTTTGATTAATATCTTTTCCAAGATCATTAATCTCTCCTAAGATTTTAGCAAATCTTGTTTCCATGTCGGTAATATTCTCGCCGTTTAGCATTTTGAAATTCTCAAATTTCTTTAAAGCTATGGTGAGCTTATTATCCTTTTCTTGCTCGTCTCCTTCACCAATTTGAATGAGCGTTTCCCAAACTTCTTTTGCGGATTGGCATTTTCGAACCTTTGGGAATATTGTGTCATCGATAGATTTAAACAAAATATCCTTGGCAATATTGTCCAAGTTATTTCTTGTTCTATCTTCACGAGACCATTCCACTTTCGGTTTTGGAACATATTGCGGAGTCTCACTTGTTTGTTCGGATGAAGTGTTGACTTGCAAAATTTCAAAAGGACCACTGGTGATGACTTCCCACATTTCATCGTGTAATGCGGATAAATGTACCTGCATGCGAATTTTCCAATCATCAAATTTTTCTAAGGAAAACAATAGATTTTGGGCAAGAGCCATATCTCTTTTCATAATTTCAACTCTAAGTAACAAGTAAATGGAGAGGTAATCAGATTGAAATGCACAGCGGAATAAATAAGTGTAAAGAGTTTTGCCCAAACAATAATTTGAATCACATGCACGTGTGAAATGAATGCTCAGATGAGGCGTAAATATGACATGAATATCTTGAATATTTAAAGGAGATGGTCCAGTCAATATTTAACAATAATATTAAAGACTATAAATAAGATTTCGTATCACGTCGATCGTGCAATAAACGTTACATGGAACACGTCAAACTTGCATAGAATAATTCAAGACTTAAGCTCGAAAAGTTTGAGTTACATGCATACGTGGAAACATGCTAAACCCGAAAGATTAAGATAGAGTATGAATAGTAAATGCGTTAGCCGGATAAGATAGATAGATAGAGCGAATTATGTAAGTGAGGTATGTAAATGAGAGAGGCTTTTTATAGTGGTTCGGAAGTGGCGTAATCTTCCTAGTCCACTTTACTTCATTCACGTCTATGAGTAATTCACTATTTTCCACACACAGTTACAATAGTGAATAAGCGCTACACAAGCACTTCCTCCGGATGTCTTGCACACAGCTACACCCAACTCCGAGTGTGTCGTACACAGCTACACTCAACTATGAGTACTTTGCACACAGCTATACTCAACGCCAACTAAGTGTTTTGCACACAGCTACACCTAGCAATCACGAGTGTTTTGCACACAGCTACACTCACTAGAGTATTTTGCACACAGCTATACTCTTCTAACAATTACAAATACAAAGGTAATTGTATCTCTCTCCAACTATTTTTGAAACTATTCAGACTAAGTCTCTAAAGAATATTTGAGCACTTGCACTTGTCTTTCTCGTGTATATTCATGTCTCCTTTTTGTATTCACCTCTATGTTTTCTTCAAGTCTTCATGGCCTTTTATAGATAACCAAATATATCCGTTGGAGTGGGATAATTTGATATTTGAAATTTGAATCTTCATAACCTGATATTGTTGACAATGGTAGGTCTTCAATATGATTTGATTGTCAAGTTGCCTGACAAGATAATATTTTATCTCAACTTGATTTTCAAGTTGTTTCTTAAAATATTATTTTTGTTGTCAATTTGAATTTCCAACGAATCTTTTGAAATAAATTCTTTTGATAGAATTTATTTCTATGATAAGTTTTTATATTCATGTCTTCATAAATATTTCCCCCGTGCTCATCATATCTTTAGGCAATTTTTGACTCTTGTGGCATGTGGGTAGATTCAAAATAAATTCCTTCGAATTTATTCATTTTCAGATCATCTTGCTTCTTTGCCACATTGTGCTCCTTTGACTTAGGCACTTCTTGCTTGTTTGACTTGAACATTGTGCTTTTTTGATTTGATCACATTGTGCTCCTTTGGACACATCGTGCTTGTTCACATTGTGCTCCTTTTGAACATTGTGCTTCTTTCAGACATCGTGCTCCTTTCAGACATTGCGCTCTTTTAGAACATTGTGCTCCTTGGGCACATCTTCCTTGTACACATCGTGCTCACATTGTGCTTGTCCGAATTCTTGACTTGTAAAAAAATATGTCCTTAAGGGGGGAATCAATCTCGAGTATGATCTTTTCATGTAAGGACTTCTACCACTTCGCCGTTAGGCTCATCCGGTCATTTGTTGTAAAGCCATTCCTTTATGCTTCTTTCTCGGATGAATACTTGTAGGACCAAAATTAATTTTCCAAATTAATTTTGTTCTTCATGTGGTAGATTTCTTTTGACTCGATATTCTGATTTATGATGCTTGTACTAGAAACCTAAAATCTAAGGAGATCTATATTACATTTGGCTCATCAAAACATACAAAAATATTCCTATCCGCTTGAATCAACAAGTCCCCGCCCTTTGTTTTGCTTGTCTTATTTGTTATTAGCCTAATCATATCAAACTAACTCATTAAGGATAGGTCTAGCTTCTATAAGGATAGTTTTAGCTTGTACTTAACTCCGCTTTGCATCAATTCCTAACATTACAAGAGCCATCTCCAATGGAACGATATCTAAACTCTATACTGTGATTTGATACTTGATGGATGTGTGAAAACCGTCTTTATCAATCATGATTATGCTAATAGTTCCATTTCAAAATGTTAAATTTTAATATGTAAACAAACCTATTTTTTTTGAATGCTACTGACTCTATTACAGTAAACAAACCTAATTAAATTTTATGAAGATTCCCTTTTTAGTCTTTTTACATTTATCACCTTATCAAAAGCTTAATTTTATCAAAAAATTTTGCATAATTAGATAGCTAAACAGCTCTTCAGTTTTCAACTTCTAGCTTATAGCTGTTTAGCTTTCAGCTATCTTTTCAACTTTCAGCTATCATTTCAGCTATGTTTGCCAAACATAGCATTAATCAAACCCAATTAATCCACTATTTCATAATTGCAACTAAAAAGATTTAATATATTTACAATTATAATATAATAATTATAACAATTTTTTATTTTTGTTACATATTTTTACAAAAATAATTTATGATGCAATAAATTTGTTAATATATTTATTAAATTTAATTAAAAAGTACTAAAAATATATTTACATACAAGGTCACAGTCGGCTAGTCCATCGATTTCGGTAAACTCATGATTGTTACTTCGTATTTTAGTTGAATTTACATAGAAACCCATGAATTTACATACAAACTGATGATTGTTGTTATAGTTGAGTTTATTTTTTCACCATAATTGCATCAAATATGATTAATGGATAATTGCATTAAAAAAAAAAAGGATAATTTCATCAAATATGATTAATGGATAATTGCATCAAATAAATGCAGGTAATCCCAAGTTGAATGCACAAAAAGGGACACGTGAGTACAACCTATATTTATTTATAAATACATGGTGGGAATCTCATATTTTTTCATATGTAAATGGAACTTCAGATTTTCCTATATGTAGATGAACTTTTCATACACACACGGATTAATGATGACTGTTAATTTTTTATTTTATACAGTTTAGATTTTTTCTCATGTGGAAATGTGTTCTCATAGGAGCATCCCATATGAAATAAATATAGACGTTGGACTCGGTAATGTTGGTACTGACGTTGTGACACAATTAATTATAACGCAGTTTGGGCAAACAACCCTAATCTGCGAGGCACTTCTCAAGTTGACAATTTGCCTAAATCCACTAAAAGCTTAATATTCAAAGTACACGTGGTTTAGGAAACGGAGATTACACAATATAATTTCCTATCAAACTATTGTGACCTAAACTCTTGTACTACTTTTCAAGGGGATTTGGGTATCTATTCTCAATGACTCTCGTGCTCACAATTAGATGTTGAAAGCTTGAGTTGAAGAGTTGTGGAGCAGCTTCTTTTATAGGTCAAGAGATGAAGTATAGACAGGAATAGGATTGCTATTTCTATTTAGATTAGGAATATAATTCCTAAGACCTGTTTGACTTAGTATTCCCTATTTGTCTAGAATTTGACAATTTGTCTTATGTCAACAATCTCCCCCTTTGTCAAATTTTAGCAAAAACCTTGATCCATTTTTTGATTCATAACTACGGTTGACACGTGGAGGTGTCTCCCCCTTGATTGTGGATCTCCCCCTTAATTTGTGGGATCTTTCTAGATCATTGTATTGTTATCATAGATAATCTTTTGTTAGTTAATGTAGGAAGTCATTTCAGTCCATATGTCTGGTCCTTCAAGAACATTTGTCTGTTGATTCTTCTAGTTGAGTCTGCCAGTAGTAGCAGAGCTATTCAAAACATATGTTATAAGAAGGTCTTGTCTGCTGTTTCCCTTGTACTTGGTACATAACATTAGGGACACACAAAAATAATGTCTGAGCATAAAGGATGTGTCCTGTTTGCAACAAAAATTCCTGCAACAAAAAAAATTCCTGCAAATTCCTGCTGTCTGCCTTTTCTCCACCTTTTTTGCTAAAATGGCTATCCCCTAACTTCTGAGTCTGATGTTGTAACAGGTGTTTCAACACTCTTTTCTTGGGAATGCTCCTGGATATCTTCTTCTGTTCCTTGATTTTGCTCTTGATCTTCTTCATTTTCTGCTTCTTGGAAATCTTCTTCTGTTCCTTGCTCTTGATCTTCTTTATTTTCTTCTTTTAGGATTGCCAGCCATTCTATTATTTCTGCTTTTTCCTCTTTGATGTTCAGTTGTTTTCTTAGAAGTTGTTTTTCTAAAGCTTCCAATTCTGTCAGTCTGCTTTCAAAGTAATTAATTAGTGTCTTTGAATCAAGTGGATTGTTCTTTGGAGCCGAGGACTTTAGAACATTTTGGTGGTTTCCTTTTCTTAGTCTGAGTGTTGTGTTGATGTTCTTGACAGTGGTCTTTGGTCCTTGAGTTTTGAGGCCTTGTTTTGTCAAGATGGCAAAGATGAGGTTTGGAGAGATCAGGGAGGTATTGGATTTAGTGTCTTCTGCTAGATTTGTGACTTGTGTATGAATAATGGCACCCATGTTGATTTTCAACCCTTTTCCTATCTTGTACAGCAGCTCTGCTAAGGTCCATTTCACTGTGGATTCGTGTAGTGAGGGAATCCAGTTTGCAAGAGCTATCTTCTGTAGAATGGCATATTTGCTTGTTAGAGAAGCTGCCTTGATTTTGTTCTTTTCAAAGCTAACATTGCCTGCTATAAGTTCTTTGGCAACTTGTTCACTGTTTATTTCTATCTGTTGCTCAGTCTCAGGTGTTCCTAGGTAGCTGTTGATTTTTTCTGGTGTAAAATCATAGAATTTTCTCTCAAATATACTTTCCCATACATAGAACTGCTGGGTATTGTGGTGGTTTTGGTTAGGTTACAATAGAATTCCTGGATGACTTCTTCATCATAAGGTTCTATGTTGGTGACTGTTCTTAGGAGTTGATTTGAGATTAGAACTTCTTGAATCTGCTCTAAGTTGTCTAGTTTGTCTGTGACAAGTAGTTTTTGGTTTATGATCTTTTTCTCTACAGATCTTTTCCATAACTTTCCAGACTCCTGGCTTAAAAAGGTTGTACTGTGTGGTTTAGGTAGGTTTGACATGTCATCACTACTAACCACGTTTTGTTTCCCTTTTTCCTTGGTAGATGCGATGGTAGATTGTGTTTGTTTTCGTTTCTTACTGGCTTCTAGGTTGGTTCTCTTTTGGGCTCGGGTTCTTACTCTTTCACAACCAGAGGACTCAATTTCTTCATTTGCTAACCAATTTTGTTCATCCTCTGTATTCTCTTTTCTTGTTTTCTTGGATTTTTCAGGTTTTGGTGGAATGTTCGGTGGTCTTTGAGGGGGTCCTGCACGTACTGGAAAGTCACTTGGCCTTTTGGCCCTTGGATCTGCTCCTTCATACGGGTCAACCTTCTTCCTCTTTCTAGGGTTTTTGTTGGCCCGGGGGATTGGATTGGGGGTTTTATCAATTGTGGTTTGTTCGTCATTTTTAGGGCTTGAGGGGCGATTTACTTCGTGATTTTGAGAATCTTCATGCCCCTCAATTTCTGATTCCCTTGGAATGTCCTCTTCTTCGGAGCTAACGTTGGAGGACATATCGGGTTCCCAGCCTCGATTTATGGCAAACCGGAGTTGTACCACTAAATCGTTTGGATTAACGATCCTATTGTCTCCAAAATCAGCCGCAATGGGCATGGCATGGGAGGTTCCTCATGATCAATCAGTGGGATATTCGAGTTACCTGGTGGATTGTTGCTCTGTTCTTGAGGTTCGCCGAACGGTACTCTGGCTATTGGAACAGGATTCATCGCAATGTTGGTGGGGCTTTCTTCTTCGACACATACTGGGTTCGAGGATTCTCCAGTGCCGGTGTATTTCGAAGTGCTATCGGTTGTTCCTCTTCGAGGTAACTTTCCCATTCTTTGATTCCTGGTTCTAACCATGATTATCTTTGTGTGAAGGATGAGGATGAGTGGAGGTCTCTCGGGTGGATGACGAGTGAGGTCGGGTAAGAGTGATAGCCCTTTTTTTGAATTGGAGCTTTTACTCGAGATGTGGATCCGGGCTTGGGCTTCTGTGATGGGGCGGTGAATTGTGACAAACATGGGCCGGTTTTGATTGATGGTTTTATTTTGTAGATTTGGCCCATGTGCTTCTCTTTGTGCGAATTATAGGATACACAAGCCCATTTCGGCCCTTAACCTTGTGTATCTGTTTCCATCAAGTGCTTTGGTTAAGATATCTGCTAGTTGTTTTTCGGTGCTTATGTGGGTAAGACTGATGATTTCATCTTCTACTAATTCCCTTATGAAGTGATGCCTGATGTCAATGTGTTTTGTTCTTGAGTGTTAAACTGGGTTTTTTGAAATGTCTATTGCGCTTTTATTGTCACAGTGAATTTGATATAACTTTATTTTGAGTATGCATGTTATTGCTATGAGAAGTCGAATTGACTCTATTTTGGCTACTGGAGCGAATGTTTCCTCAAAATCTGTTCCTTCGACTTGAGTGTATCCTTGTGCTACTAGTCGGGCTTTGTTTCGTATAATGTTTCCTTGATCATCTGTTTTATTCTTGTAAATCCATTTTGTCCCTATAATATTGGCATTTTCCGGTTTGGGAACTAACTGCGAGACATTGTGTCTTTCAAATTGTTGTAATTCCTCTTGCATGGCTTCCACCCAAAATTCATCTTTTATGGCTTCCGTGATGTTTTTGGGTTCAATTTTTGAGGTGTAGCAGTAGTCATGATCTCCTTCTTCCATTTTACGATAGTCTCGTTTCTTTCCTCTAGTTCTGATTCCTTCATTTAGTTCTCCTATAATGTTTTCTACTGGGTGATTTTTCTGTACCCTTGTCTCATCAGTATTGAGGGTTTCCTTGGTTTCTTCAGGCTCTTCAATTTCATCCTTTTCTGATTTAGATTTCTGATTTTGTGGTGTTGAAACTGTTGTTTCAACAACAGTTATTTCTTCATCACTGGTGGGAAGGTCTTCTGATGTTGTATCATTGACCACAACATTTATAGATTCCATGACATTGTTTGTTCTAAGATTAAATACACGGTATGCCCTGCTGTTTGAGGAGTACCCTAAAAAAATCCCTTCATCACCTTTGATGTCAAATTTTCCCAATGGTTCTCTATCTTTTAGTATATAACATTTGCTGCCAAACACATGTGTGTGTTTTAGGTTTGGTGTTTTTCCTTTCCAGATTTGATATGGTGTCATGTTGGTTTCTTTCCGTATGAATACTCGGTTTATCAAGTAGCATGCTGTATTAACTGCTTCTGCCCAGAACATTGATGGAAGTCTCTTGTGATTTAAGAGCACCCTTGCCATTTCTTGGATAGTTCGATTCTTTCGTTCGACAACTCCATTTTGTTGGGGTGTTTTTGGTGCGGAGAACTCATGATGAATCCCATTTTCTGTGCAGTATTCCTTAAATTTTGAGTTCTCGAACTCTCTCCCATGATCACTTCTTAGACGAATGATCTTTCCTATTCTTCCATCTTTTTCATTCTGAATTTTGATAATGAGAGCTTTGAATATTGTAAATGCTTCAGATTTTTCTCTAAGAAAGTTTACCTATGTGAATCGTGAATAGTCATCGACTGTTACATAAACATATTTCTTCCCTCCTATGCTTTCTATCTGGGTTGGCCCAAATATGTCCATGTGAAGTAGTTCTAGGATTTTAGTAGTGTGTATTCCTGAGGTTTTCTTGTGGGTTGTTCGTGTTATTTTGTTTTCAAGGCATGCATCACATTTTTTGTTTTCGTCTATGTCGAGTGCTGGAACTCCTCAGTAGACTCCCTTTTTCATGTCATGAAAGTTTATGTGACCTATCCGTTGGAGCCATAATTGTGTTTGATTGATGGTTGTCTGTAAGCAGGTTAGATCACCGTCCCATGTGTAGCATTTATTTGTGGATTTTCTTCCGATCATAACACATTCACGATTTTGATTGAGAACATTGAAACTATTTTTTGAAAATTCCACTTTAAGTTCATCTTCACATAGTTGACTTATACTGATCAAGTTTGCTTTTAATCCTTGCACTAAGAATACTTTTGACAGTTTTGGTAGCCCATGTACGTTCAAAGTTCCTTTTGCAACAATCCTTCCTTTTCCTCCATCTCCAAAGGTAACATATCCTTCATTTTCATATTGTATGTTCGCTAAATTTTCTGGATTTCCAGTCATATGCCTGGAGCATCCGCTGTCAAAATACCATATATCTTGCTCTTTGTTTGTTTTGGAGGTATATGCAACATTTTGGTCTTTTCTTACCCAGATTTTCTTACTATTATTTCTGTTCTGTGTTGGCCACACTCTGTTATTTTGTCTATAGTAAAGGTCATTCTGTCTCTTGTAGCAGTGTGCTTTGATGTGTCCTAGTTTGTGGCAATAGTAGCACCTCATTCTTCTTCGGTGTCGGAAATGCTGTTGCGACACTTCCTGTATCTCGATTTGGTGATTCTCACTGGTGTCTGTGCTTGGAGTCCTGGGTCTTTCGGTGAGCTCCTTGATTTCTTGTAGTTCTTTGTTTTTGAAGTCTAATAGTTCTTTTTGAGCTTCTTCATATTGTTTCTCAATTCGTTCTTTTTCATTTTTTAAATAATGATTATCTTCCATGAGTTCCAAATTTTTCTTGATAATCTGCTCCTACTTGGAATTTAGTTGAGTGTATGCCTCTAGTAACTCTTGCATGTCATCATTATTGTTGTCTTCATGGCTAGCAGTGAAGGCTACGAAGTTTGTGTTGCTGTCATCTTCTTCACTATCTGAGTCATCGCTCAGAGTTGTTATATATGTTTTATTTTTCCTTTTCAATTATGTCGCACATTCTGATTGAATGTGTCCAAAGCCTTTGCATTCATAGCATTGTATCCCTTCTGTATTATCTCTTCGTTTTGGATTGGATGGTTCTTGATTGACTATAGAATTTCCTTGGTTGGTTGACTATAGTGCAATTGACTGTTCCATGGTTTCTGAATCAGTTTCTGAGTTCTCTTCTTGTCTGGACTGTAATGCTATTCCTTTGCCATTGTTTTTCTGATTTTGTAGCATCTCAAGTTCATAGGTTTGAAGATTTCCCATTAGATCACTAAGTCTGTACGTATTCAGATCTTTATTTTCTTGAATAGCGGTGACTTTCATTAGGAATCTTCCAGGTAGCGAGCGTAGTACCTTTTTGACGATCCTATGTTCGGGTATAGGTTCGCCTAGGTTGAATGCATTTCCAGATATACTTAAAACTCTGGCACTGAATTGGGTGATGCTTTCTTCCTCTTCCATTTTTAGGTTTTCAAATTCTGTTTGTATCATCTGTAGCTTAGATTGTCTTACAGTTGAGTTTCCCTCATGATGATCGCACAATATACTGCATGCAGTTTTGGCTATGCGAGTTGATGCAATTAGTTTAAATGTGTCTTCGCTTACGGCTCCATATATTGCATTCATAGCCTTTAAGTTGAAGTCATATTCAGTTTTCTCTTCTTCACTCCATTCAATTCTAGGTTTTGCATTCCCTTTGTCATCGACTGGGGTTTTCCATTCGTTTTCTATTGCATTCCAGACGCCTTCTCCTTGTGCTAAAATGTATATCTGCATTCGAGCTTTCCAGTAGGAGAAGTTTGTGCCAAGTAGAGCCGGTGGTCTATTGTTTGAAAGACCTTCTCTTGGGAATTCCATTTGGATCCTGCTAGTAACTTAAGCAGACCCGCTCTGATGCCAATTTAAATAAATATAGACGTTGGACTCGGTAATGTTGGAACTGACGTTGTGACACAATTAATTATAACGCAGTTTGGGCAAACAACCCTGATCTGCGAGGCACTTCTCAAGATAAGAATTTGCCTAAATCCACTAAAAGCTTAATATTCTAAGTACACGTGGTTTAGGAAACGGAGATTACACAATATGATTTCCTATCAAACTATTGTGACCTAAACACTTGTACTACTTTTCAAGGGGATTTGGGTATCTATTCTCAATGACTCTCGTGCTCACAATTAGATGTTGAAGGCTTGAGTTGAAGAGTTGTTGTAACACCCCGTGTTACGATCCCTAAAATCAATTAAATCATTTAATCAATTACCCAAAAGAAAGAATTAAATCACAATAATTAATTAGGAAAGGCCCACCATAGTCCACGGGCCCTTATCCCTAAACCCAATCCTTAGTTCCAAAAGAAATAGAATTAGCAAGACTATAATATTAGTTCCTAACTAGGACTCCTAAATATATAAATAGGGGGCTTGAGAGGCACCTAGAAACCCCCCCCCCCCCCCCACCACCATAATAAACGTTCCACCACCCCAAAGAGCTCCAAGAATCCCCTTAGAAGAAATCAAGAAAGCAAGAAAGCTTAAAGAAAGACCCTTCATAGCCAAGGAATTAATTAAGGCTAAGAGGTAACCCATGTCTCAACAAAACCTATTTTCATAGCTATGATTCCCCTCTTAGGATTTCCCCATATTATTGTGTATTGATGATTTGTATTATTATTGATGATTGATGGGATAATTCCATGGGTGATCTTGATGATGAAAGGTTCCTGATAATTATGGTGTTCTTGATGATTATATGACGTTCTTGATGATTATATGATGTTCTTGATGATTGTACGATGTTCCTGATGTTTATATAATATTCTTACCGAATCTTGATATTAGAAGATGAATCGTGACC